GAACACTTCCCACTACCAGGCATTCATGCCCCATTTTGATAACCTGCGTAATCTTAGACAAGTCTTATAGAGTGCATATTCTGTTCCTAAAATATGTATTTATTTCAATGTAAAAAATATTTTAATTATTTACCAGTTAAATTACTCAACTCACTGCCCCCTCAATGAGCACAACTAAAGCTCCAAGATGATGGTCATGCTTATCTTGTGGATTCAAGTACCCAGGAATCATATCACTTTGTACCCTAAGGGCATTTACATCCATTTGAGAAACAGGGATTAAACTAGCCACAGCACTTGAAAGTAATCAACATGTTTCTACAACCCCATTCTCCAAACTATTTAGTCTACTTTTCTCAACAGCTTTTCAAATCAGGATTGTTTTTCTTTTCAGCAGTTCATTAGTATGTATTTTGTATCAACACTTCTAAAGGAACCTGTAGAGTGCAAGTTATTTCTGGACAACAGGAAACCAGCACAAAGGCCTTGTCCTTCCCATCTGATGAACGTACCAAGATGCCCACTTACGAAACAGATCTGAAGAACAGCAGAGCTTTCATTCCTGTTCCCTTCCTCCTTTCTATATGCTTCAGGCGTGGCTTGTAAGAAAAATCTTAGTGGTTACTTAGATGATTTACATGTTTATCTAATCTCAGCATTTGTTATTTCCACCTCTACACTCCTTTTTGCCATTACATAAGTGAAATTAAGCAATTTTCACATTTTCTAGGGGATAAGAAGTGTTTTCTAGTAACCTGAGAAGATAAAATTTCACACTCAGCACCTTACCTTTTGTTGTTTATGAGATCCAAAGCTTAGTAGATCTTGAAATTTATGAGAAGCCTGTTTCAAGTTCCCTCTGATGTTTATTATATTTTATAGCAGAAAGTGGAGGCCACAATAAATTTTAAGTGACCCTTCCAAATTTTAAGAAAAAAAATTGATAATGACTATAACCAACACTCTGATGCATGGGTCATTAGCTAGGCCAGGGGTTGGCAAACCGCAGTTCGCGAGCTACATGCGGCTCTTTGGCCCCTTGAGTGTGGCTCTTCCAAATAATACCTTGGCCTGGGCAAGTCTATTTTGAAGAAGTGGCGTTAGAAGAAGTTTAAGTTGAAAAAATTTGGCTCTCAAAAGAAATTTCAATCATTGTACTGTTGATAATTTGGCTCTGTTGACTAATGAGTTTGCTGCCCACTGAGCTAGGCTAACTCAATTAGGACCACTTTTATCCAGGATACCAAATTCCCCAAGAACAGGATTCCATCTGTTTGTTCCTCTTCAAAACCACAAATTTCTGCAACAGACTTTTGAATTCGTTTACCAAGACTTCAACTAACATTGTCAAAAAATATACATTCCAAAGTTTTCTACAGCAAAGCAGCCACCATTTCCTGTTTTGTTTTTCTTTAATGTACAGTCCCAAAATGGTACTTAATGTTTTACCACATTCTCAACTCTGAGAATAACCTCTGTAATATGTTATCCTCTCACATATGAGGGCTATAGGCATGGAAAGGTTAAGTAGCTGCCCAGTGTCATCCAGCTGGTATATGGCAGTGCAGAGTTTCAAGCTGAAGACTCTGACCAAAAGCCTGTATGCCCTCCGTCACTCACCCTCCTGCATCTCCTATATCCAAGAATGGTCCAGCAAATCCTCCAACCCAAGGAGGGTTCTATTTTTAAGACCAAAAAATGAAGTATACCTCTCCGTGGCTGCAAAGTCAGTTTGAAGAGGAAAAACAGAATCCAGCTCTCAAGCCCTTGGTCAGCAGTCTGTCCACTAGCGCATCTTGTTCTCTGGCCCCAGGTCTGTGACCATTCTAAAACAGAAGCACAAGTCATTTTTAAGAACACTAAATACTAGTTCGCACAAATGCACATATAATATGAAAAACAAACTTAGGACAAGATGAAGACTGATAAAATATGCCATCTTATTAATTGGGTCATTCCATAAATATCTTAATTAAGCCAATAACAAAAAACTCTGGTGGGTTTTTTTAGACATTTGCTAAATAATTGATGTTTCTATCTCTCTCCCTCTCCCTTTCTTTTTAAAATCAATAAAAATATATTTTAAAAAAAGCTTCAGGCAGTGATAGAGTGGAACTTACCTCCAAGGGGAAGACAGTTGGGGGGACTCCCAAGTGAAATAAAACAGCTAAATTTGAATTAAGAGTTTTCAAAGAATTTAGCATAAGAGGTATATCAAGAGGGAATCCAACTCATAATTAACTAAAGCCCACAAAACTTAGGCTGATATCTTTCTTAGATGAACCTGAAGAAAAGTCTTCTCTCTTGAGAAGCAATTTAAAACATAGAGGATTAGTATATTTAGTTTAAGAAACTTTTGTATTGGAGTCTATATACTGTCAAAGGGAATGAGAATTTATGCCCCTGAATATTCTAAGGGCAACAAAAAATGAAGACTGTGTGTGTGGGGAAAATCACTGTCCTTGGGGTGTATGTTAGCAGTCTATATGCTATACCACATTTTTGCACCCAAATACTAATCACTGAGAAAATGCACAAAAATACTGGGCTGATGTAGCTCAGCAGTTAAGAGTGCCAGCCTGTGCACCAAAGGGTTGCAGGATCCATCTCCAGCACCAGTCTGGATGTGGGCAACCAATTCATACATCTCTCTCACATCAATGTTTCTCTCTCTAAAAAAAAAAAATCAATGGAGGAAAAATACCATGTGAGGACTAACAACAACAAAGTACTGCCAGGGAAGGTGAAGTTTAGGGATGTTTGAAATATGGCACACCAAATTCTATATATATAATTATGATCCATGGTCTGCAAAGTCATCATTACTTGCCATTATTACTTCTTAAACCTGTATGCTCTTTCTCAAATACCAAATTATGACAATTCTTAGTTGTTTGAAGGAGGACCTAATTTTTGGCAAAAGAGCCTGAAGTCATCTGGAACCGAGATAGGTAAATAAGGTAGATAAATGGTCAACTGGTTTCTGGTTTTAAAAAATGTAATGGAGCTATAAAGTAGACGATATGGAGTGAATTTAATACCAGCAACATCCCTGAAGTAAAAAAAAAAAAGACCAGTGTCAGCAGGCAACATGGTGCAAGGAAGGCTCAGCCACAGGATTCCTCCTCAGGGCACTTGCCAGCCACAGGTGGCCTCCACAACTCACAAAGGAACTCCCTAAGCCTCTCACAGTCTTAGGTGGGTGTCCTCATTTTTGTGTGTTCTCTAAAGCAAAGTCCTAAAGACCTTAGAATTTGAATGCATCTTAAGGATAACTTTTACAGCTCCTAAATTGTATGTTGGTTGAACAAATCTCTAAGGTAACTTTTACAACTACTTTTAAATAAGCAGCATTTTCCTACGTGGACGAACAGTTCTGTTGTAATCTTTCTCATACCACTGATTTAAATAAGTTCCTTTGGGCCGAAACCGGTTTGGCTTAGTGGTAGAGCGTCGGCCTGCGGACTGAAGGGTCCCAGGTTCGATTCCAGTCAGGGGCGTGTGCGTTGGTTGCGGGCACATCCCTGGTTGAGGGTGTGCACAAGGCAGCTGGTCGATGTTTCTCTTTCATCGATGTTTCTGGCTCTCTATCTCTCTCCCTCCCTCTCTGTAAAAAATCAATAAAAAAATAAAAAAATAAATAAATAAATAAATAAGTTCCTTTGGGTAACCTTATATCCTCAATTTATCTTCTCTGTAGATCTACTTTTCCAATAAAAGCCACGTATGAATCCTGGCATTTGGGAAATCTCAAAGGATAGCAACTCTGTGGATAAGCTCTATATCATTAAAACAGTGTAAATGATGTGTAAGATTTAGCAGTGAATGACTGCATATCGCACAACGGAATCAAGAAGCAAAATATGGTTTGTGGAGCACAATGCTGAGGGGGGGGGGGGGGCTTTACTCCCGGCTCAATTACAGACCTGCTGGATTTTAATTTTTAATGCACGTGGAGCTTATTTAATAAGTAAAACATGCCACCTGACATCCATAATTTCAAAAGGAAAATAATACCCAAAATCACAAGAGTGCAAAAAGTTACACAAATGGACTAATATATTAGACAATTAACTGTGGTTCTATTCGCAAACTTGACACTCCATCGATGCTACTACATTTAGTTAGTGCAATTTTATTCTGGAGGAGGGGAAAGGAACATTTTATAGGATTCAAAAAGGGATGTTGAAAGACTCCCCTATGGAGGCACATGTTTAAATTTCCTCATACACTTAATGCAACTTTTCTTAAAAAAAAAAAAAAAAAAAAAAAAAAAAGTTAATCAGACTTTTCTTCTCTCCAAATCAGGCAGAGTTATTCCATCAACTGCCGGACCATACTATATTAAGACACTAGTATATTTGAGGAAGGAGCAAAAAGGTAATTCATCAGAAAGCTTTTTTTTTTTTTTTACGATGCAAGACGGCTTAAGGACGGAGTAAATGTAATATCCGTGCCCGGTTTGACTTCTTTTGCAGCCTATAGGGGCAATGGAACGAACTTCACTAGTTGGTCTAAATTCGGAAGAAAGCATGAAGAATATGTACGGAAATGTTTACTTAATTCTGAACTCAGGGCTACAGGAAGTCTGCTACTAAAGAGTAGTTACATTAGGCGTGGATATTTATAAACCAACTGCAGCTAGTGTGACCCAAGATTCAGTTACAACACCAACCCTCAGATTTCAGCGTTATGGGCAAATTACCAGTGAAGTCAAAATAATTCATTCTGCCGTACTGGAAGCTTTTAGATCGATCGGCTTGCCGGATCCACAACTGCTTTCCCCTCGTACTAAGAGAACCAAGTACTCAACACAGTACTAAGTTGGCGTCAGGGCATTTTATAAAGCGCGAGGGAAACTTCAAGGGTCGCCTGCCCCCAAGGTGGCCAGCCCGTAACCCAACAACTCGGGAATGTGTCCTATCAACTTGAGATCAGTTTCGATCCCTTTGGGATCTCTGAGCGCACAAAAATCAGGCTATCACTCACTTGCCAGGGAAGCCCGACCCTGGCTCCAGAAAAAAAAAAAAAAAAACACGGTTTGGTTCGGAACTCCTGTCTTTTTCCGCCCACCGCGGGGGGCCGCATCGGCAGGGCTCGGCACAGAGCCCGGGCGCTTAGGTTAGGGGCGCAGCGGGGCCCGGCGGGGGCGGCGAGCGCGCGTCCCCCCGCCCGCCCGGGCGGCGTCGAGGCGCGAGTAGCTCAGCCAGCCTTGCAGAGGGAGCTCTCGGCAGCTCTTGGGGTCCCTCTGCTCGCAGCAGCGCCGCCTGCGCCACTCGGTGGAGACGGAGACCAGCGGCGGCGACGCGCGGACTGGCAGCGCCCGCCGAGCAGCCGAGCAGGGCAGCCGGGTAAGGTTCCAGGGACCGGGCGGGCTGGAGGATGGGCAGCCGGAGAGGCGTTGGCCGGGGCCCCGGCACCCATCCTGGCACGGGGGGACCCGGCGGCTGCGCGCGAGGCGGCGGAGTTAGGACCCCCCTGAGAAAAGCGGGCGGCGGAAGCCGAGGCGGCCCGGAGATGGCCCGTCGGCTGAAGTCTCTCCCCGCCTCGGGAGTGGCGGAGGGCAGAGGGCGGGCCGCGGCCGAGTGATCGGTCGAGCCAAGAAGCCGGTCTCGAGGGCAGAGACAAAGGAAGGAAAATGGAGTCGCCGGCGCGCGGGCCTCTGTCACCGGCGCCGCCGGAGGCCTAGCGCGCCGCCAGGAGGGAGGCCTAGCGGGCGGGTGTGTGTTGGGGGGGGAAGGGCCGGCCGGGCTGTGGCGGCGACGGGCAATGGCGGCGGCCGCGCCGCAGCAGGGACGGTAGAGGGAGACAAACACCCCCCGGCGGCGGCGCTGGCGCCGGGCTGCAGCCAGCGCCGACCGGAGCGGCCCCATCGTGACACCTAGAGGCGGCCCGCGAAACCTCCTCCACCCGGGGCCCCCTTACCTCCGCGCCACACCCCCCGCAGCGCCCGCTCCGCCGCCGCTCCACCGCTCCGGCCACCTGGCGGCCCTGGCTAGTTCCGCGCACCCGCACCGGCCACCGCGCCGCCGCTGCCGCCAAAGAAGCAGCTCCGCGCACGGTTTAATCGCTCCACGGGCTCGGACACAAAATGGCGGCAGCGTGGTGCAGTGCGCCTGCGTCGGCGCTGCCGGGGCCGCGGGTGCTGATAAGGGAAGGGACGGGTGGGGGGGCCGGCCGGGCGGCGAGTGGAGGGCGGGGGAGGAAAGGTGAGGGGAGGGGTTGGCGCGGGGCAGCATGGGAGGCGGCCCCGGGCGCCAACTTTCAAAAGCGGGCGCGATGGCGTAACGGGACGCGCCGCGAGTCACGTCACGCCGCACGCGCCCTCCCGCGCTCTCGCCCGGTCGCGCGTGGGCTCCGCCAAGTCCGGGCTCCCGGACTGGGTGGGGTTTCTTGGGCGGAGGTCACCGCCTCTGGGCGGTCCGGGATCACGGGGCCGCTTCGCCTAAGTTCCTTAGCGGTAGATTCTCGCCCGGAATCCGTAAAGGGGGGGAGGGTGTGGGGAAGAAGCCCGCGCGAGGTTAGGTGGTGGGTCTGAGGCGTTTCTCGGGGCAGGCCCCGCCCCAGGCTCCACCCTAGCCTCGCCGGATCCGCCCTCCTAGCGCCGCACCGCATCCCGCCAAGGAGTTAGGCCGGTGGGGTCCCCGCGCGCATTCTCATCTCAATTCAGCGACCGCGCCAAGAGTTAGGTCTCTTCCCAGCGGCTTTGGGGAACCTGTCCGCCCTGTAGAAGAGGGCTTTCTCTTGTCCCCAGACCACTTCGGCCCGGAAAAGCCAGCGGGAAACTTGATGCTTTTGCAGAATCTTGGCAGTATTGGGCCGGAAAGGACTTGGTTTTTGGAGCGGTGTAATAATTCTGTATTTCAAAATGTGCCCTTCTTGTCTTTGCCCCGAGGGCTGTTCAATTCTCGGGGCGGGCGGAGTCCCGAAGTCATTCCGAGTGCGGTTGCCCTCCCCCTCCCCAAGATGCACCTGCGGGCTTTGACCTCACAGCGATAAAGTTGACGGAAGACTGGACATTCTGGTGGCTCCGGGAGGAGAGTTTTTGGTACTTTTTGGGAATTTGACTCAGGATTATAGTCTCAGCTCCCTTAGAAGTGGATAACAAACAGCTAATGCTCCATTTGTTCTGTTATGAGAATGCTGCCAACAATATTGACAAATCCGAGTGTGTGGTGTGTGTGTTTTAAGGGAATCAGAAATTTGAATTATTTAAAATGCAAAATTTTCAGATACCTAGGCGTTAGCAGCTAAATCGAGTGTTTTTAAATTGCATGAGTTGATTAAACCATACATGTGATTTAACCTGACTTTAAAGGAAAGAGTGAAAAGTTCTGGTGCCAAATCCTAGGCACTCCAGCCTTTAGAGATAGGGTAATGGAGGCAGGGGAGCAGCCAGGAAAGCAGAAGGAAATTCACGGCAGAAAAGGTTTCAGGTAGGAGGGATATGGTCAGTTGTGTGTAGTGCTGCCCAGAGTTCTACTTGGGCTAATGGTTTGAGTTGGTCGCCTTGGAGGTCACTGGAGAATATTATTAGTGGCCTTGGCTTGATTCATGTTGGTAAGTCAGAAAGAAATGTGGCTATGACTAGAATGAGTTGAAGAGTGATCGAGAAAGTTAGGAAATAGAGACTACGTGTAGTCCACAAGAGAAGTTTTGCTGTGAAGGGAGCAAATACATTTAGGCACAACTACAATAGAAGGATATGGGATCAGAGAAATTTTTGTTTTATCTATTGATTCTAAAGAGAAGAAGGGAGAGAAACATCAATTTGTTGTTCCACTTATGCATTCATTAGTTGATTTTGTATGTGCCCTGATTGGGGATGGAACTCTCAACCTTGGAGTATGGGGGCGATACCCTAACCAGCTATTCCAGCCAGTGCAAAGGAGGAGATGTTTAAAAGATGGTAGGAGCCGAAACCGGTTTGGCTCAGTGGGTAGAGCGTCAGCCTGCAGACTGAAGGGTCCCAGGTTTGATTCTAGTCAAGGGCATGTGCATTGGTTGCGGGCACATCCCCAGTAGGGGTTGTGCAAGAGGCAGCTGATCGATGATTCTCTCTCATCGATGTTTCTGACTCTCTTCCTCTCTGTAAAAAAATCAATAAAATATATTTTAAAAAATAAAAATAGCCGAAACCTGTTTGGCTCAGTGGATAGAACGTCGGTCTGCGGACTGAAAGATCCCAGGTTCGATTTCGGTCAAGGGCATGTACCTTGATTGCAGGCACATCCCTGGTAGGGGGTGTGCAGGAAGCAGCTGGTTGATGATTCTCTCTCATCGATGTTTCTAGCTCTCTATCCCTTTTTCTTCCTCTCTGTAAAAAAGCAATAAAATATATTTTTAAAAATAAAAGATGGTAGGGTTCTACTGCATGGTTTTGTGCCATGAGGAGTGATACAGTAGGGAGAAGGCTTACTTGACCTATATATTCTAGGAGTGAAATCCATGGGAGGATATAAGGAAACTGGGAGGATTAACCTTGGATAGGAGCAGGATGCTTCCACTGTGATAATCCGCATAACTGATGAAGATGAAGATGATGCAAATGTAGGGAGAGGGAAAGCAAACTTAAGGCTTTCCTAGTAGGACTGTGTACCAGTATTGGGTACCCATTTGAAGTTTATGATCATCAGTTTAAAGATAAACTAGTTGGCCTAGTTAGTATGTGGTTTTTCTCCAGCAACATTCAGCTGCTTGGGTACAGACATAAAGAGGGATAATTTGGTTTCTCAACACCAGGACCCAATTTTTTTTATTCCTCATCTCAGGCACTTGCCTTGTGTGATTAGCTACTATTCTAGAAATGTGTGAAGTATTGTGAAAATTTACATGTGACCCCTTTTCTAGGAACTAAGTGGTTCTATTTGTGTTTTTACGTACACATCTTAAGACTCAAATATAGCCAAAACCGGTTTGGCTCAGTGGATAGAGCGTCAGCCTGCGGACTGAGGGGTCCCGGGTTCGATTCCGGTCAAGGGCATGTACCTTGGTTGCGGGCACATCCTCAGTGGGGGGGGGTGCAAGAGGCAGCTGATCAATGATTCTCTCTCATTGATGATTCCAACTCTCTATCCCTCTCTCTTCCTCTCTGTAAAATATCAATAAAATATATTAAAAAAAAAAAAAAAGACTCAAATATAGCTCTGGCTAGTGTGCTAAGTAGTTAGAGCAGTCTTCGGCAAACTCAGTCAACAGAGCCAAATATCAACAGTACAACGATTGAAATTTCTTTTGAGAGCCAAATTTTTTAAACTTAAACTTCTTCTGACTCCATTTCTTCAAAATTGACCCGCCCAGCCTGTGGTATTTTGTGGAAGAGCCACACTCCAGGGGCCAAAGAGCCGCATGTGGCTCGAGAGCCACAGTTTGCAAACCACTGGGTTAGAGCATTGGCCCACACACCCAAAGGTCAATTCACGGTCAAGGGCACATACCTGGGTTGCAGGTTCAATCCCTGGCCCTGGCCCCTGGTTGGGGATTAGGAGGCAACCAATGGGTGTGTCTGTCACATTAAGGTTTCTCGCTCCCCCTCCCTCTGCCCCTCCCTCCGTGCCTTCCTTCTACTCTCTGAAAATCAATGGAGCCCCAGCTTGGTTCAGTGAATACAGGGTTGGCCTATGGACCAAAGGGTTCTGGGTTCGATTCTGGTCAAGGGCACATGCTTTGGTTGCAGGCTCCTTCCTGCCCCAGCCTTGGTCAAGGCTCCTGCAGGAGGCAACCAATTGATGTGTTTCTCTCACATCGATATTTCTCTCTGTCTTTCCCCCTCTCTTCCACTCTCTCTAAAAAATCACAAGGTGTTGGTGGTATAGTGGTGAGCATAGCTGCCTTCCACTCTCTCTAAAAAAATCAATGGAAAAATATCCTCAGATGAGTGGCCAGATTATTATGCATTCAGAGATCATAGTAATCTGGCCACTCTGTGTGTGTGTGTGTGTGTGTGTGTGTGTGTGTGTTCTAAGGCTTTAATGTGGACAAATATAAGGCAGTGTATTTAGATGGGAAAAAAAAACCCTCAACAATATTTACAATTATATTTGTAACTGCTGTGGTCGGAATATTTGTAGTCCCTCCAAATATATTGAAATTGTAATGCCTGATGTGATGGTATTCATAGGTAAGGCGTTTGGGAGGAGCTTAAGTCATGAAGGTGGAGCCCTCAAAGAGATCCTAGCCCTTTCCACCACATGAAGTCACATGGGGAAGACGATGAACCAGGAAGAGGGCCGATGTGGCTATGTTGGTGCCTTTTTTTTTTTTTTTAAATCCTCACCCAAGAACATTTTTCCATTAAGTTTTAGAAAGAGTGGAAGGTGTGTGAGAGGGAAACATCGATGTGAGAGAGGCA